GTATAATACATAAGGGGGGATATGATCTCCATGTATAATACATAAGGGGGGATATGATCACCATGCATAATACATAAGGGGGGATATGATCTCCATGTATAATACATTAGGGGGGATATGATCTCCATGTATAATACATAAGGGGGGGATATGATCTCCATGTATAATACATAAGGGGGGGATATGATCTCCACGTATAATACATAAGGGGGATATGATCTCCATGTATAATACATAAGGGGGGGAGGGTATGATCACCATCTATAATACATAAGGGGGGATATGATCTCCATGTATAATACATAAGGGGGGATATGATCTCCATGTATAATACATAAGGGGGGATATGATCTCCATGTATAATACATAAGGGGGGATATGATCACCTTGTATAATACATAAGGGGGGATATGATCTCCATGTATAATATATAGGAGGGGGTATGATGATATCCGTGTATAATTCATATGGGGGGATATGATCATCATGTATAATACATAAGGGGGGATATGATCACTATGTATAATACATAAGGGGGGATATGATCACCATGTATAATACATAAGGGGGGATATGATCACCTTGTATAATACATAAGGGGGGATATGATCTCCATGTATAATATATAGGAGGGGGTATGATTTCCGTATATAATACATATGGGGGGATATGATCATCATGTATAATACATAAGGGGGATATGATCTCCACGTATAATACATAAGGGGGATATGATCACCATGTATAATACATAAGGGGGGATATGATCTCCATGTATAATACATAAGGGGGGATATGATCACCATGCATAATACATAAGGGGGGATATGATCTCCATGTATAATACATTAGGGGGGATATGATCTCCATGTATAATACATAAGGGGGGATATGATCTCCATGTATAATACATAAGGGGGGGATATGATCTCCACGTATAATACATAAGGGGGGATATGATCTCCATGTATAATACATAAGGGGGGGAGGGTATGATCACCATCTATAATACATAAGGGGGGATATGATCTCCATGTATAATACATAAGGGGGGATATGATCTCCATGTATAATACATAAGGGGGGGATATGATCTCCATGTATAATATATAAGAGGGGATATGATCACCATGTATAATACATAGGGGGGGATATGATCACCATGTATAATTCATAAGGGGGGGATATGATCTCCATGTATAATACATAAGGGGGGATATGATCTCCATGTATAATACATAAGGGGGGATATGATCTCCATGTATAATACATAAGGGGGGATATGATCTCCATGTATAATATATAAGAGGGGATATGATCACCATGTATAATACATAAGGGGGGGATATGATCACCTTGTATAATACATAAGGGGGGATATGATCTCCATGTATAATATATAGGAGGGGGTATGATCTCCGTGTATAATACATATATACATATGGGGGGAAATATGATCATCATGTATAATACATAAGGGGGGATATGATCACTATGTATAATACATAAGGGGGGATATGATCACCATGTATAATACATAAGGGGGATATGATCTCCATGTATAATACATAAGGGGGATATGATCTCCATGTATAATACATTAGGGGGGATATGATCTCCATGTATATAATACATAAGGGGGGATATGATCTCCATGTATAATACATAAGGGGGGGATATGATCTCCACGTATAATACATAAGGGGGGATATGATCTCCATGTATAATACATAAGGGGGGGATATGATCTCCATGTATAATACATAAGGGGGGATATGATCTCCATGTATAATACATAAGGGGGGGATATGATCTCCATGTATAATACATGAGTGGTTCATACAGTGAACTCGATGTAGAGTTATTCACCCGATGTAGAGGTCATCACAGAGGACAAGGGGGCGTTCTTTATGTCTGGAAGAAAAGAGATTTAATCTCCACACATGGAAAGGTTCTTCTTCACAGTAAGAGCTGTGAAAATGTGGAATAGACTCCCACAAGCACTGGTTCTGACCAGCTCAGTGGATTGCTGTAGGAAAGTCCTGGATTCTTTCTTGGATACACAGAATATACAGTCAGGTCCATAAATATTGGGACATCGACACAATTCTAACATTTTTGGCTCTTTACACCACCACAATGGATTTGAAATGAAACTAACAAGATGTGCTTTAACTGAAGACTGTCAGCTTTAATTTGAGGGTATTTACATCCAAATCAGGTGAACGGTGTAGGAATTACAACAGTTTGCATATGTGCCTCCCACTTTTTAAGGGACCAAAAGTAATGGGACAGAATAATAATCATAAATCAAACTTTCACTTTTTAATACTTGGTTACAAATCCTTTGCAGTCAATTACAGCCTGAAGTCTGGAACGCATAGACATCACCAGACGCTGGGTTTCATCCCTGGTGATGCTCTGCCAGGCCTCTACTGCAACTGTCTTCAGTTCCTCCCCTGCTTGTTATTGGGGCATTTTCCCTTCAGTTTTGTCTTCAGCAAGTGAAATGCATGCTCAATCGGATTCAGGTCAGGTGATTGACTTGGCCATTGCATAACATTCCACTTCTTTCCCTTAAAAAACTGTTTGGTTGCTTTTGCAGTATGCTTTGGGTCATTGTCCATCTGCACTGTGAAGCGTCCAATGAGTTGTGAAGCATTTGGCTGAATATGAGCAGATAATATTCCCGAAACACTTCAGAATTCATCCTGCTGCTTTTGTCAGCAGTCACATCATCAATAAATACAAGAGAACCAGTTCCATTGGCAGCCATACATGCCCACGCCATGACACTACCACCACCATGCTTCACTGATGAGGTGGTATGCTTAGGATCATGAGCAGTTACTTTCCTTCTCCATACTCTTCTCTTCCCATCACTCTGGTATAAGTTGATCTTGGTCTCATCTGTCCATAGGATGTTGTTCCAGAACTGTGAATGCTTTTTTAGATGTCGTTTGGCAAACTGTAATCTGGCCTTCCTGTTTTTGAGGCTCACCAATGGTTTACATCTTGTGGTGAACCCTCTGTATTCACTCTGGTGAAGTCTTCTCTTGATTGTTGACTTTGACACACATACACCTACCTCCTGGAGAGTGTTCTTGATCTGGCCAACTGTTGTGAAGGGTGTTTTCTTCACCAAGGAAAGAATTCTTCGATCATCCACCACAGTTGTTTTCCGTGGTCTTCCGGGTCTTTTGGTGTTGATGAGCTCACCGGTGCGTTCCTTCTTTTTAAGAATGTTCCAAACAGTTCTTTTGGCCACGGCTAATGTTTTTGCTATCTCTCTAATGGGTTTGTTTTGTTTTTTCAGCCTAATGATGGCTTGCTTCACTGATAGTGACAGCTCTTTGGATCTCATCTTGAGAGTTGACAGCAACAGATTCCAAATGCGAACAGCACACTTGAAATGAACTCTGGACCTTTTATCTGCTCATTGTAATTGGGGTAATGAGGGAATAACACACACCTGGCCATGGAATAGCTGAGAAGCCAATTGTCCCATTACTTTTGGTCCCTTAAAAAGTGGGAGGCACATATGCAAACTGTTGTAATTCCTACACCGTTCACCTGATTTGGATGTAAATACCCTCAAATTAAAGCAGCAGTCTACAGTTAAAGCACATCTTGTTTGTTTCATTTCAAATCCATTGTGGTGTTGTATAGAGCCAAAAATGTTAGAATTGTGTCGATGTCCCAATATTTATGCACCTGACTGTAACTGGATACTAACTTTTATAGGTAAAGTTGATCCAGGGAATATCCGATTGCCTCTCGGGGGATCAGGAAGAAATTTTTTCCCCTGCAGGAGCAAATTGGATCATGCTTTGCTGGGTTTTTTTTGCCTTCCTCTGGATCAACTGTGGGTGTAGGATTATAACTTATTTTTTATAAGGTTGAACCGGATGAGCTTTTATCTTTTTTCAGCCAGACTAACTATGTAACTATATCGCTCTCTGTATTTCACCAGAAGAACGTTTGCTGCAGTAAACTTCATGGCAATCCAGGGGATACCATATTCTACACAATCAGGTTCTCTGTAGACATCTGGGGGAATTAGTGAGCAAATTTTGCAAGCATGGTTGAAATCCCTCATAATGGACACAGCAGGTGTACAGACTCGGGAATCCAGCACAGGGATGGTGGGAACCCCTCATAATGGGCACATCAGGTGTACAGACCCCGGGAACTCAGCACAGGGATGGTGGGAACCCCTCATAATGGGCACAGCAGGTGTACAGACTCGGGAACTCAGCACAGGAATGGTGGGAACCCCTCATAATGGGCACATCAGGTGTACAGACCCTGGAAACTCAGCACAGGGATGGTGGGAACCCCTCATAATGGGCACTGAAGGTGTACAAAGCCGGGAAGTCAGCACAGGGATGATGGGAACCCCTCATAATGGGCACATCAAGTGTACAGACCCGGGAACGCAGCACAGGGATGGTGGGAAACCCCTCATAATGGGCACCGAAGGTGTACAGACCCGGGAACTAAGCACAGGGATGGTGGGAACCCCTCATAATGAGCACAGCAAGTGTACAGACCCAGGAACTCAGCACAGAACTGGTGGAAAGCCCTCATAATGGGCACTGAAGGTGTACAAAGCCGGGAAGTCAGCACAGGGATGATGGGAACCCCTCATAATGGGCACATCAAGTGTACAGACCCGGGAACTCAGCACAGGGATGGTGGGAACCCCTCATAATGAGCACAGCAAGTGTACAGACTCTGGGAACTCAGCACAGGACTGGTGGAAAGTCAACAAAATGGGCACTGAAGGTGTACAAAGCCAGGAACTCAGCACAGGGATGATGGGAACCCCTCATACTGGGCACAGCAGGTGTACAGACCCCAGGATCTCAGCACAGGGATGGTGTGAACCCCTCATAATGGGCATTGAAGGTGTACAGACCCGGGAACTAAGCACAGGGATGGAGGGAACCCCTCATAATGGGCACAGCAGGTGTTCAGACTTGGGAACAGCCGGTGTTATGATTTGTCACAATATTTCGTCTCTTTCTCATTCACAGGACTATGAGTACCCTCTGCACCCCCATAACACCAACTACCAGAAGAATGACCGCTGCCCCCCACCACCACAAACCCTTCCTGATAGGGCCTGTGAGGTGCTGAGCTGCCGCTCCGACTCCGAGTGCGAGAGACACAAACGCTGCTGCTTCAATGGATGTATCTACGCCTGCCTGGAGTCCGTTCAGCCTCCTCCAGGTATGATGGTGACCACTGGACATTATACAGACACAGGAGGAGAGGGCGGGTCAGGCAAAGGGTCAGCAAGTGCAGGCCGGGGTGCTTGGGGTTAACCCTTGTTATATTCTCCTGTTGATCTCCTTCAGCTTCTTTGCAGCCATTTCCTGTTTTAGGACAGGTTTCCTGATGGTGACAACAGTGAGCCCTGCCTGTTTAATGTGCAATTTACAACCTCTTGTAGTCTCCATCAGAAGCCCATGTGGCAGGGTGACAGCGCAGGAGCACATTTGGGAGACAGAATTGTGCCTGAACAAGGACCTTCATGGCAGGATCATCAGGGATTATTTTAATTAAAGCTGCAGATTTAAAAATTCAAAAATGTATTTTAAAATTAAATAAACATGATAAAGCGTGTATGAGATTTTACAGACTGGGATCTATATAAGACGTGTGTTTCATTACAATTCATTTTTCAGATGAAAATGTCATTTTCAGAGATTCAGATGTATACAAATCTTTGAATGAACATAGAAATCAATGTCAATGAATCAGAAAAAAAGTTATAGCAAAATTAACAAATGCATTTCATTCGGATGACATCACATGATGCATTAGTATTTTGGCCCCATGGGGAAATGAAATTAAATTTTCTAATTTGTTCGATAATTCAGATTTGGATAATGAATGAATCTGAATTTTGTTCCATTTAGTAATTTGGATGTACTTGATGTCAGCCAGTCAATATTGTCCAATCAGCTCATGCCATTTCTCCTGGTGGGTCAGACTAGTGCCCAGAAAAATAGAATCCTTCTGATTCAAAATCATTTGATCGATAAAAAAATCGAATATATAGCAATCTTTTGGAAAAACAGAAAAAAATTTTCGTATCCACCGGGACCAAAGAAATGTACAAAATGAATGCCAAAGACATGAAAAAAATTCTGAAAATGAATCAGGTCAACATAATGAATATGATGAAATACAATTCTTCAATGAACAAATGCATCCAAAACAAAACTTTCTGGTGTGCACATGTCTAATATATATATATATACAGTCAGGGGCAGACTGACAACTCATGGGGCCCCCGGGCAATAGGGGATCATGGGGCCCCTGTGTCCTTGCCCAAACTCAAAAAAGCCTATGAAAAAGGTACCAGGGGCAGCTCATGGGGCCCCCTACTGACCCCGAGCCCTCGGGCAGTGCCCGAGTTTCCAAATGGTCAGTCCACCCCTGTATACAGTATAAGGCTGAAGAGCCGTATACAAAGCTAAAACCCATCTATAGATCTGTGATTCCTGATCCTCCCTACACTGCTAAATACAAAATGTGGAATAAATATCATCCAAAATTCAAATCAAATGTACCGAAGAGAGTCTGTCTGTGGGTCTACTCCTCACACATTGCAGTACCACGTTTCTTTCTGTCTGCCTTCAGTGCTGGATTGGTTGGTGCAGCCAAAGCCTCGCTGGCTGGGTGGAAATGGCTGGTTACTGGATGGACCCGAGGAAGTCTTACAAGGTACAACTTTTCAAATCATCAAATATTTATTAAAAAAGGTGCATAGCCTTTTGTCCAGCCAATCTGTCTGTACATTTGTTCTGTACCAACTATGGAAAAACGATTGTTCTTTAGGTTATTTTCTTTTCTGAATGAATGGCCACAAGGTGTCAGACTTTCTGAGTGTAATACTACTTCCTGGCCACTAAAGTTTTAGACATTTCATGAGTGTAGTACTCCTTTATAGCCACTAGATGTAAAACTTTAACTAAGTTTAGTATTCCTTCTTGGCCACTGGGTGTCAGAAATTCACTAGACACTAGCTGACTTTTCGTGAGTGTGTTACTCCTCACAGCCACTAGATGTCAGACTTTTAATGAGTGTATTACTCCTCACAGCCACTAGATGTCAGACTTTTCCTGAGTATAGTACTTCATCACAGCCACTAGAGGTCAGAGGTTTGCTGAGTGTAGTACTTCATCACAACCACTAGATGTCAGACTATTACTGAGTTTAGAACTCACAGCCACCAGAAGTCACTTTTCCTGAATGTAGTACTTCATCACAGCCACTAGAGGGCAGACTTTTCCTGAGTGTAGTAGTTCATCACAGCCACTAGATGTCAGACTTTTACTGAATGTAGTACTCCTAACAGCCAGTAGAGGTCAGACTTTTCGTGCATGTAGTACTTCACATCATCACAGCCACTAGATGTCAGACTTTTACACAGTGTAGTACATCATCACATCCACTAGATGTCAGACTTTTCCTAAGTATAGTACTACTCACAGCCACTAGAGGTCAGACTTTTCCTGAGTTTAGTCCATCACATCCACTAGATCAGGGGTGGGCAACTGTGGCCCTCCAGCTGTTGTAGAACTACAAGTCCCATGAGGCATTGCAAAACAAAGAGTTACAAGTATGACTCCCAAAGGCAGATACATGATGGGACTTGTAGTTCATCAACAGCTGGAGGGCCACAGTTGCACACCCCTGCACTAGATGTCATACTTTTCCTGAGTGTAGTACTTCATTACAGCCACTAGATGTCAGACTTTCCTAAATATAGCACTTCATTGCAGCCACTAGATGTCACATGTTTCCTGAGTGTAGTACTTCATCACAGCCACTAAATGTCAGACTTTTCCTGGGTGTAGTACTTCATCACAGCCACTAGATGGCAAACTTTTACTCTTTGTTGGAATTCATCACAACCACTAGATGGCAGACTTTTCCTGAGTATAGCACTTTATCACAGCCACTAGATGTCAGACTTTAACTAAGTTTAGTATTCCTTCTTGGCCACTGGGTGTCAGATGTTCTCTAAATGTAGTACTCTACTCCATCCTAGAATTTAGCTGACTTTTCCTGAGTGTGGTACTCCTCACAGCCACTAGATGTCACAGTTTTCCTGTCCTGAAGTCTAGGGGGAGGCTATGTGGCTTATTGGTTCCTTTCTCCTCTGTTCTTAGCCACAAGGAAAGGGGTCTGCTGTGCCTTTTGGCTAGGTGGACCATGTAGAAACCTCAGTAAGGAGCCTTGTGCCCCAGGTAGAGGTCCTACCCCTTCAGGGGGTGGACTAAAGCACACCTCTAAGCGTACTTTTTTTTGTGTTGGTCTTTTGCACATGCACGTTTTTTGTTCAGTTACGGGTGTTTTGTTTTTTCGCACCTCCATGGAAGTTAAAAAAAAATAAATGCTCTCCCTAAGTGGAAATAGTATGGTCAAAAATCATCCTTATTGGTAGAAGCCAGGGGATGGTGGGAGAGGTGACCCATTGGCTCAGTGCATGGCTGAACCAACAAACTGAGCGGGCATCTGGGAAAAAGTAGGGGTTCTCTGGGTGAGAAATGTGTCAGACAAATTTGCATATATTTGACTAATCCCACACTACTTGAGGGTGAGCCAAGCACAAAGGAGTATGCAAATTAGGGTGACCATGGTCCTTTGCAATGGGATCAGAACAAGAATGAAAGGCGTATGGCATCTGGGGAAACCCCCCCCCCCCCCCAAAAAAAAAAAATAATGTAAAGAAAAACAAAAAAGGGCTTTTTGGCTAAGTGTACTTGTGTCTCGCTTTTTGGTTAAGATCAAGAGTAGTATCTGTTCTTATCAGTGTCCAGTAGGGGCGCTCCACTGTCATTCTTGCTTCTTGGCGAGGATGGTTGACTGTATACTACCCCTGCTGGCATGATAGGGGCTCTGATGGCTAGTACTGGCTGGAACAGAAACTGTGGTGCCCACAGGCAGTTGGGGCCCGGGAGTAATTCCCCCAGGAAGACCGGAGGAGCCCAGTTCCTTCGATTGGATCTACCTTGTCTGACCAGGGGCTGGGGAAGCAGAGTCCGCGGAGTGGTCACCTCAGGGGTGCTCTTAGTAGCACATGGGGGTGGGATACCAAGTGTGAAAAATGCTCATGGTCACTGTTTCAAAAACTTTTTCTGCACTGCGCCTTTTAGGGCAAGGTTCATCACCGCCACTAGATGTCACTTTTCCTGAGTGTAGTACTTCATCACAGCCACTAGATTTCAGATGTTTACTGCATTTAGTATTCCTTCCTGGCCACAAGGTGTCAGACTTTTCATGAGTGTAGTGCTACTTCTTGGCCACTAAGTGTCAGACTTTCAGTGAGTGTAGTACCTGTTGCCAGTCCTAAGGGTTCAGTCCCCTTGCAGTCTTTGTGTTTCCACTGACAGCTGAAGCCTGCAGCACCACTGAAGATGGGGACGAGCCTCTCCACTGCCCTACAGGATATGAATGTCACATAATTAACCCTGGCAGCCCAGCAGAGGGCATCCCAAATCGAGGGCAGTGCATCAAGCAAAGAGGAAACTCAGGTGAGTGAAATTCCCAAAATTCCTCACACTACAACTTCCCAGGACGCTGTCCCAATCCTCTGCAGATCTGACAAAGATTTCCTCTTTTGTGTATTTTATTCCAGATGGGAGAAACCTGAGGCTGAAATATCCCAAAGAATATCATGGTAAGTCACTTCTCGGGATAGGAGTACGGTGGTGTCCTTCATACCAACCTCTGTAAGCCCCCCTCCCCATGCACAGATCTTCAGTTGCAAAGTTCAAGTCACAGTCCATGTTCACCCTGGTTGTCAGGGAAGTCCTGTCACGTACCTGGATAGTGAGCCTGACGTGAAGAGGCAGGCCTCCCGTACAACTCCAGCTCAAGGACCACTGATGGTGAGACAGTGGTCACAGGGGCACGGTGGGGTATGAGTGCCTGTGATCAGTCCAGTAATAGCTGGTAAGCTGATGAGTTATAGGCAGGGAGCAGGGTTCTGATGCAGCCGTGCTGGATGGATGGATACCCGAGAGCAGCGTGCTGAGGATCCAGGGTCAGACGAGCCGGGTTTGGTATTGGTCAGGCAGATCAGGCTTAAAGCGGCAGGAGGAAGAGTAGTCGGGTCACAGGCCAAGTCAGCAATGGAGGATCAATCAGACAGGAGCGGAGACAGAAGGATAATCCAAGGAAAGCCAGAGGTCAGGGCAGGTAGCAGTCAAGCGGAGGTCAGGAACAAGCTGGTTCAGTATCAGGAGACAATCACAGGAAATCAGGGAACATGAGCAGGGAAAAGACCATACGGCAATGGGACAACTACTGCGGCCAGTTTAAATAGCCCTTTTGGCGCCAACGGCACTTCACCTGCACTATGAGCAGGCCTTTCTTGACAACCCCATAGAAATCTGACAACTCCATGTAAGATAAAAATGGGGTCAGTGATGACATCATCACACCCAGCTGTCTTACCTGTCCCTGAACAGGAGAACCTAATGTTTAACACACAGATATATATATATATATATATATATATATATATATATATATATTTCAGAGAGAGACAGTCTGAAAGTAAACAGATTCTGGTGTGCTCTCCAGAAGCCGCTGCCTAGGTTTCATAAAGAGGTGGATGCTCTGAAACATGTTGCCTATTTGGCCAGCGGCTTCCAGACTTCCTCCTGACATCACCTCTGCATCTGTGTTCCATGCTGATTACAGCCACTTGCCATTGCTTCTCTGCCTGGACATACCAGTGGCAGCATACATAATGATCCCAGGAGATCCTGCCACCCCAGCCTCATACACAGATATGACTGTTTGCTTCATTTTGATGTACATTGCCAATTGGCTGTGCAATAAATCCATTATATTGCTGTTACACTTAGTATGGCACCTCCTGTGTTTCTTTGTATTTTCTACAGGGTTTGCTTCAGTCTATGGGGAGCTGCTGTTAGTGTGCTGTAGAGTTTCTGTTTATTCCTTTCATACATGGAATTTATGGACTTATAACACCAATAAGTCCCTATGTGCCACGCTCGCTCCATTCACCTTTTCTTGTGCTTTTGTGTATCCTGCACCATGGATGCGCCCTACAACAAACCTTTCGTTCCACAACAAACATTATATAAATTGGGTCTCCAAACCTTTCATTATGAGGGCCATTTTGTTGATTTTACAAATATTTGTAAAAATGGTTTTGCAAAGAGTCCCCCATAATATCCAGAAGTGCCCATCAGAGTCCCCCCTTACATCCAGGAGTGCCCATCAGAGTCCCCCCATATATCCAGAAGTGTCCATTAGCGTCCCCCCTTATATCCAGGAGTGCCCATCAGAGCCCCCCTCTCCTTACATGCAAGAGTGCCCATTTTAGCCCTTCCTTACATCCAGGAATGCCCATCAGAGTCCCTCTTTACATCCAGAAGTTCCAATCAGGAGGAATGGGGTGGGGGTTATGGCCAGTTTGCTGGCAGTGGATGTATCAGTATCCATATTATGATACACAAGCCAGCGCATCCACTGTCAGCCATCCGGGGTATTTTTATGGACACTTGCAGTGGGCCGGATAAACATGTAGTGGGTTGGATGTGGCCCGCGGGCCGTAGTTTGGAGACCCCTGATATATAGAGATAAATACTACATACAGTATATAATCTTTGTTTTGCAAAGAAATGTTTGATGTAGGGCACATCTATGTTGCAGGATTCATAAACCACTCAGGTCTCCAAGGAGAGCACACCAGAAGCTGTTTGCTTTCAGACTGTCTTTCTTTGATTGAATCTTCAGACTGAGCTGTACAAAGGGACTGTGGTGAGACATTAGACTGTAAGCCTTTCCGGTGCAGAGGCCTATGTGACCGGCTTAGTGTTCTCTGTACGGCACTGCGGTATATGTCAGAGCTATATAAATGTATAATAATAATAATAGTGTGTGACTGTGGGGGGGTGGGGTATTCAATTGTAAGCTCTTCTGGTGCGGAGAGTAATGTGAAAGGCTCAGTGTTCTCTGTACAGCACTGCGGTTTATGTCAGAGCTATATAAATGTATAATAATAGTGAGTGACTGTGAGGGAGAGATTCAAGTGTAAGCTCCTCTGCTGCAGAGACCGATTTGATTGGCTCAGTGTTCTCTGTACAGCCCTGTGGTATATGTCAGAGTTGTATAAATGTATAATAATAATAGTGTGTGACTGTGGGGGGGGGGGGGTATTCAAGTGTAAGCTCTTCTAGTGCAGAGTGATGTGACCGGCTCAGTGTTCTCTGTACAGCACTGTGGTATATGTCAGAGCTATATGAATGTATGGTAACAGTGTTATATTGTTTTATTACACGTTATGTGAAGCAGCTGACCTCTGACCTCTCTACATTTCAGGTGGAAATTTTAATAACGTCGTGGTCGGAGTCGATAAGCAGACCCGGAAGCACTTAGGATAATGGTTGGTATTGAATTATGTGATAATCCTGTACATGACAAGGGAAATGCACAATCCACGTTTTCTAACCTTCTTCTGAAAATGCCAAATGCCTGGCTGTCTGTGACTTCAATACATTCTGTGCCAAGTAAAATCAGAGCATCAACATGACAGGCAGACAATGAGCATTATCAGGAGGAGATTAGGAGCCTTCCTGTCTTCATAAGAACAGGTTAACGAGGAACTCCAGACTATAAATTCTAAAAGCATATAGATTCACCTTTTCTGATCTTCAGTGGATTTGTGATTCTGTCCGGCCAGTCCTGAGATTTACACGTCTGTTGTTTCCTGTCTCAGCTCCCTACTCATTGGACGGAGGAGAAGATTTACTGAAGCCCAAAGAGTGACACAGGAAGCTGCACTGCTGAACAAGGAAACTAAATCATTAGAAACCTTGTGTGTCACCTGTACATGTGTGCAAAATGTAAATCACAAGACTGTCTGTTCAGAGTTATATATGCTCATAAAATGGTCCACAGATTTGCAGTTCAACTGTGTATAAAAGTAGAACTATAGGTAAAACTTTTTTTTTCATTTTGGATAGAGTAAGGGAGGGTTTTACCCGTCAGATTTATTTTGCCATCTGTGTCCCATTGGGGAGATTTCCCTTCACTTCCTGTCCCATAGCCTGCAAATTAAGGGAATTCCTTGGGGACCCCCAGGTCATCAGAGCTAGTGTTCCTTTTGGAAGATTTTTCCTTTTCTGGGGACAACCCCAAAATTTGGGGTTTTCTTTTACTTTCACTTTTAATGATAATGATAAACAGGATAGATAGAGAGGGTGAGTCTCCCTAACAGGGCACAGGCAGCGATAAAACATGACAGGGGTTCTAATCCATCTCCACTATATCCAAAACTAAAAACTGCCTTTAATTACACTTTAATACTGATTTTAGGTGCGGTACGTTCTCAAGGCCAGTATGACCAGTGGCCACTACAATTCTTATTGTTATTTTCTATTATACCTTTTCCATTAATATCTTGGGTGACTGTGGGGGGACATTAGAGTGTAAGCTCCTCAGGTGCAGAGACTGATGTGACTGGCTCAGTGTTTTCTGTACAGCACTGGGGTATATGTCAGAGCTATATAAATATATAATAATAGTGTGTGACTGTGGGGGGGCATTAGAGTGTAAGCTCCTCTGGTGCAGAGTGACTTAGTTCAGTGTTCTCTGTACAGCCCTGCAGTATATGTCAGATCTATATAAATGTATAATAATAGTGTGTGACTGTGGGCAGAGGGGGCATTAGAGTGTAAGCTCCTATGTTTCAGAGACTGATGTGACTGGCTCAGTGTACTCTGTACAGCCCTGTGGTATATGTCAGAGCTATATAAATGCATAATAATAGTGTATGACTGGGGGGGACATTAGAGCGTAAGTTCCTCTGGTACAGAGTGACTAGTTCAGTGTTCTCTGTACAGCCCTGTGGTATATGTCAGCTATATAAATGTATAATAATAATAGTGTGTGACTGTGGGGGGGACATTAGAGTGTAAGCTCCTCTGGTGCAGAGACTGAGGTGACTGGCTCACTGTTCTCCGTACAGCACTATGGTATATGTCTGAGCTATATAGATGTATAATAATAATGACAAAGTTTCCCCCAGACCTCCAATCTACAGGTATGTGTACTAGGAAAAAGAAAAGCTTGATTCCCACAATGCAATGGGAATATTTCTCAATTTCTCATATATACAGGTGAAACTCGAAAAATTAGAATATCGTGCAAAAGTTCATTTATTTCAGTGCAGCAACTTAAAAGGTGAAACTAATATATGAGACTCATTACATGCAAAGCAAGATAGTTCAAGCCGTGATTTGTCATCATTGTGATGATTATGGCTTACAGGTAATGAAAACCCCAAATCCACAATCTCAGAAAATTTGAATATTACATGCAATCAATAAAACAAGGATTGTACATAGAACAATATCGGACCTCTGAAAAGTAGAAGCATGCATATGTACTCAGTACTTGGTTTGGGCCCCTTTTGCAGCAATTACTGCCTCAATGCGGTGTGGCATGGAAGCTATCAGCCTGTGGCACTGCTGAGGTGTTATGGAAGACCAGGATGCTTCAATAGCGCCCTTCAGCTCTTCCGCATTGTTTGGTCTCATGTCTCTCATCTTTCTCTTGGCAATGCCCCATAGATTCTCTATGGGGTTCAGGTCAGGCGAGTTTGCTGGCCAATCAAGCACAGTAATCCCACGGTCATTGAACCAGGTTTTGGTGCTTTTGGCAGTGTGGGCGGAGCCACGTCCTGCTGGAGAATGAAG